GGTGAGTTCAATAGACTAAAAAATTAGTCTATTGAACAATGAGATCACTTGGATTCAGGAAGGGGGGCATCACACACTGGGGCCTATTGTGGGGAGGGGGCAGGGGGGAGCGATAGCATTCGGAGATATACCTAATATAAATGACGAGTTAATGGGTGCAGCACACAACATGGCACATGTATACATATGTAACAAACCTGCCCATTGTGCACATGTACCCTAGAACTTAAAGTATAATAATAATAATAAAAGAAAGCAAAATGTAGTCTTTGACAAGACGAACTTTGGAGTTAGACTGCAAGAGTTTGAATCTTAGTTTTACCACATACTGACTGAGTGAGTTTGTGTTACTTCTCTGCGGCTCAGTTTCTCCATCTGCAAAATGAGAATGATAATAGTACCTAGCACATTACGTGCTGTGGAGATTAAATGAGCTAATATGTATAAACTTCTTAGAATAGTTTCTAGCATAGTATGAGCAACTGGTGCTTATATACTACTATTATCACAGAAAATAATTCATCTCATTTAACAGCTTTTGTACCCATATTCCATCTTATCTATCAATTCAGCATATATTTGGAATGAGCTGCATTCACAGATGAGATCTGGAATTGTGGGAGGCAGCATACATGGAGAAGTTCAGGTCTGCAATCAGGGATATTTGAACCCTGGCTCTGTTGGGAATAGTGATGTGATATTCTTGTATAAGTCATTTATCCTGACTGATCCATATTTCTAAAAGGTGTGTGTATGTAACTTTCATTATAGGGTTTGGAAAAATAAATGTAAATCCCTCTTTTGGTGAAGATTGATGTGATTATGAAAAATGCTTAAAGACTGATAAAAATGAGTCACCTTTGGCTCAGTATCATATAACATATATGTTATATCATAAAACATATATATCATAGAACTTTGAGGATGATAGACAAATTGGAGAGGGTTAATGGTTTGGACAGAAATTGCCCATGTACAGTTGGCTTGAAAAATAGACATAATTGACTATTTTTCAGCAAGGTTGACTATATTTGTGAATTTAAGACTTTACATTTTCCTTCCAGCAGTTTCTTAACAGTCTTATTTTTCTGTTGGGTTCATTTGAGTTCAATTTACCAGTAGTAACCTGTAAACACTTCTGTCAGACAACCTGCTCCACAGTTGATCTAAATCTCTGCAATTACACAGCCTATGATTAATTAATGTCAAGGTATAATCCAAAATTTTCATGTATAATCTAGAATTTTAAGTAAATGCTGTATAATCTAGTAGATGATTCTATTCCACCTAGCCTAATGAATGAATATCATACTTCTCATATTCCAAAAAATTGCAATAGACCGTATGGAAAATGGATGGCTCTTTCTGTTCTATAGAAAATGAATTACTTTAAATAAAAAAATTAGTCTATTTAGCTGGATTGACTTTTAGAGAAACTGAAAAACTTTGCATGATATTACAACTAGTAGCGTTTTTTTCTTCTTGTTTTTGTGCCTTTTTAAATTTGAAAAAGTAGTACATAGTACACAACTCCTAGATATAATTGATTCAGTTTCTCACATCTTAAATGGCTGAGCCTAGGGATTGAAGGAAAGAAGCCACATGTTGAGTGAGAAGCCATAACCTCCCAGGGTTTATTCTGACTGGTGATTGCCTAAAGCATAAGCTAGTGCATTTCAACTGAAGTGTGATGCCAACAGCAAGCACGGTATGGTATCAATCAATGCTCTGTACCTGTAGCTCTAAACTTGCCTTGGTTATGAACTCTTTAAGAATCAAGAGGGAATTATAGACATGCTTCCCATAAAACTACACATTTTCTTCTTTCCTCAAAGCTTGGCACAGAATTCCAGGAGGCTCCCATGAACTTCCTGAATCCCTTCTTTCTCCCCTTTCCCCCTAGTCCCCTGCAGTCTATGAATCCCATGTGTGTAGGGTCCACTGACGTGAGGAGGCATCCTCTCACTGAGCTTGACCACACTTTTATTTATTTATTTATTTATTTATTTATTTATTTATTTATGTGAGATTCAGTCTCGCTGTGGTCACCCAGGCTGGAGTGCTGTGGCACGATCTCAGCTCACTGCAACGTCCACCGCTCAGGCTCAAGCAATTCTCATTCCTCAGCCTCCCAAGTAGCTGGGATTATATGCGGCCTGTCACTATGCCCAGCTAATTTCTGTATTTTTTTTTTTTTTTTTTTTGAGGCGGAGTTTCGCTCTGTCTCCCAGGCTGGAGTGCAGTGGCCGGATCTCAGCGCACTGCAAGCTCCGCCTCCCGGGTTTATGCCATTCTCCTGCCTCAGCCTCCCGAGTAGCTGGGACTACAGGCGCCCGCCACCTCGCCCGGCTAGTTTTTTTTGTATTTTTTAGTAGAGACGGGGTTTCACCATGTTAGCCAGGATGGTCTCGATTTCCTGACCTCGTGATCCGCCCGTCTCGGCCTCCCAAAGTGCTGGGATTACAGGCTTGAGCCACCGCGCCCGGCCATTTCTGTATTTTTTGTAGAGACAGGGTTTCACCGTGTTGGCCAGGCTCATCTTGAACTCCTGACCTCAAGTGATCCACTCACCCCGGCCTTCCAAAGTGCTGGGATTACAGGTGTGAGCCACCACGTACAGCCTGATTTTTTTTAATGGTAATGGGTTGGACATTTCTGGAAACCAGGAGATGAAGACTAATCAGAGGCTTTTGCCCATCCTTTAAGAGTTATTACATACAATGTCACACCGTAACTGAGAGTACAAGCTCAGCTTCTCATGTGCCACCTCGCTGTGTCTGATGCAGCTGGATTCTTTTGGATGCTTCTATGTATGTTAGATTCATTCTATTTTAGTTTAAGCTTGTTTGAATCTACCTCTACTCCCTAAAAACTGTTTCTCTTATTGTCAAAATCAACACGTGTCCTCACTTTACATCTACTAGGATAGCTATAATTAAGAAGATAGCTAATAATAAGCATTGGTTAGGTGTAGAGAAATTGAAACCCTCTTACACTGCTGGTGGGAATGTAAAATAGTGCAATCATTTTGGAAAACAGCCTAGCACTTCTCCAAAGGGTAAACACAAAGTTACCATATGACCAGCTGTTCTACTCCTAGGTATATACCCAAGAGAAATGAAAATGTATGTCCACACAAAAACATGTACATGTAAAACTAGCAGCATTACTCATGATAACCAAAAGGCAAAAACAACCCAAATGTCCATTAACCAATGAGTCGATGTATAAAATATGCTATTTCCATATTCCATATACATGAATATCCTATATACAGTGAAATATTAGTAGGCAATAAGAAATGAAGTACTAATGTTACAACTTGGATGAACCCTGAAAACATTATGGTAAGTGAAAGAAGACAGTCACAAAAGACTACACATTCTGTCATTCTATTTGTATGAAATGTCCAGAATAGGTAAATCCATAGAGACAAAGCACATTAGGGATTGCCAGGGGCTGGAGAGGGGAGAAATTGGGGGTGACTGCTAACAAGTATGGGGTTTCTTGTTGGGGTGACACAGTGTTCTAAAATTGTGGTGGTGATGGTGGTGGTTAAACTCTGTGAATATACTAAAAGCTTTGAATTATACACTTTAAATGGGTAACTGTATAGTATATGAATTATATCTCAATAAAGCCATTACTAAAAAAATAAAGCCAGACCTGTCTTCAAATCACTAGTGTCTTGAGACAAGGATTTGGGTGCGAATACTGAATTTGGAAAGATATCCCAAAGCACAGTCAGGAGGTAGGGAAGTGAGACGGGGGAGGAGGGAAAGCCACTAATGGGGGTATTAATCGGTGAGTTGATGTTGTGGGCAGTGGGTGCTCCATCCTTCTGGGGCCCCTCAGAAAGGCTGTGCAGACCACAGCTCAGAATTACTCCTCCACGGGAAAAGAAAATGGGATTATTTCTATGAGTGTGGACTCCCCGGCACTCCCAGCCTGCCACATATACAAGCCAAACATGCTCCTACGTCAGAGAAAGCCCTTAGACAAGAAGAGGCAGAGGCAGAGAGAGACAGACAGACAGACTGACTGCCTGACATGCAGGTACTGAGGTAGGAAGCATCAGAATACACGGAAACTTTACCACTCCTGCAGGGGATACCCAGGGTGACTGAGCGGGTATGGGCAGGGCCTTGTCAGTCCTTCACACACCTGCTTTCAGGGGTGTTACTTAACCTGCACCTCAGTCCCCTTATTCTGAAAATGGAGAAGACAATAGTTCCTGCCGCATACGGATGATGTGACGATTAATGAGTTAATGTAGCTGATGTATTTGGGAGAGGTAAGAAGACGTATTTTTAATATTTTCCTGTTTTCTTTTTAACTTATCCATGATCGTGTCTCTTCTGAATGAGCTTCTAACAAAGCAGAGAATACGTTCTTCTAAGTTTGAAAAAGAAACAGAAGGTTGCAGAAAACCGTCTTGTTAAGTCCCCCTGCGTTTGATCAGCTTTGAATGGCTGCCGTCTGAAATGTGCCGCGTGCTTTGTTAACACATTAGACAGATGCCCGTTGCAGTGAGTTCTGTCCCTGGAGCAACACTGTGATCTTCCTCATTCTTGCTGTCCTGCTTTATGGGAACTGTTGGTGGGATTCAAGCAAGCGAGTTTGATCATAACAGTCTCTTGTACTTTCCTTTGCATCTCCTCGTATTTTCCCAAAGTTGTGTTCCGGGGATTATGGGCCCTGGGAGCTTGCTTTCTGTGAAATGTCTGCAGTCTAGGGATGGAAGCCAGTGGCTGCAATCCCAGGCAATTTTGAGTTCCACTTCTGTCAAAGGCATTTATACTCAGTTTGCTTCATTGCTCGTGGACGATTGCAACAGGCCAGTTGGTAAACAGCCAGGGGAAAACAGGGTAAATAATAATAATAATAATAATAATGAAAAAAAATAAAACCTCCCAACTGCATTACATCGAGCTCAAGCTATCATGATGAAAACTTAAAAGATTTACTCACTCAAGAAAATATCTCTGGATTTTTTTCAGACTGGGACTCTTCAATTAACCTAACATTTCACAAATCCAGAATTGCTGTGGATAAACTCTTTACTTCACTTCGGGATATTGCTGGAGCTCGGAATCTCATGAAACAGTTTAAGTCTGTATATGTTCCTGGAAATCATACCCACCAGGCAAGTATATACGCTTTAAAGTAACCTTCTAATCTGTTGTACTTCTAGGATTCAGAGACTATAACTACAAGAAAAGGTTCCCTTTTAGCCTCCCTAAAATCAAAGGTTTGTTCCAGATAAACTCCAAGTTGTCTTTTAGTTCAGAGTTTCGGGTCCCATGGAATCTGAAAGCCTCTCAATTCATTTATGTCCCAGGCTTGATACGGTGGGATGAGGACTGAGTTGGGAGTCAGCCACGGCTTTCTAACTGTGGGTCTGTCGTAGACTGATTCTATAGCCTTCTGCAAGTCCCTTCTCTCCTCTGGGACCCAGTGACTACAAGTACCAAATGAGGGGCTGGCCTTAGAGGATTCCCAAGTTTCTGGATCTAACCAGTCCATAAATATTTTGAACAAGTAGAATAATGAAAAACACCTAATAATGTTACAACAAGGGAAAAAGTTTGTGATGAAAACATGTGTTATTTAAAATTCCTCCACTGCTTTCAAAGGAGCGCAGGAGGACCTGAAAAGAATGTTTTTTGACCATTGAGTAAGAAGATGTTATCAAGATTAAGGGGTAATTGTTGTGTAAAAACTCAGAGGGGGAAAGTACATAGAAGATCCAAAGGGAAGCTTAAGCAATAAGGAAAGGTTAGAGCCATTGAGGCTGGGAGTCTTTGTTGGACAAGGTAGGAGACAGAACTAAGGTTCCTGGTGGTCAAAGATGAGCTCTCAGAGAAGAACAAATGTTTCTGATGGAAAAGATAACTATTTTATATAAATAGATATCCATCCATCTATTTTATATAAATAAATAAATAAAACCTTTAGTAAAATCAACTTTATTCGTTAAGGCTTTTTGGAGAGCTGCATGTGCTGTTAGTGGGGAGGAGTTCAGCTTCAGGGTGCCGATTCTTTAAGGGAGACTTGAGCTAATGTTACCCACTGCAGCCTAGCACAATCCAGATTCTTCCTCCAGTATCCTGTATGTGTTTGGGAGCTGATACCTGAAGAGCGCTTCTACATTGGATTTTTACTTTGATTGCCAAAAGTTATGCCAGGGAGGCATTATTATTCCAAGATCCAGGAAGGCCAAGTAACGTGCCACAGGCATGCAGATGGCCAGGGGCGGATGCCAGATCTTTGCTGCCAGCCCAAAACCTCTTCCCCGACTATAATATGGTTCTCATGGAGATTCTAGAAGTGTTGATTGATGGTGCCGATGGTCATCTGAAGTCACCTACCAAGATACTGAAGACCTTAGAAACTGTCACTCTGCTTAGAAACATAAAGATTTTCACCCTTTACTCAAAGATCTGAGAATGCCACGGCCACAAAATACAGATAAAATCACTCCAATAATCATATGTAGTTTTGTCATTTTAAAATATCAGCGATCTTAAATACTATAATGTGGCCTAGTTCCAAAAGACATGCTAGAACTAGTGATATATGATGCATTGAGACCAAAAATGTCAAGAAGCAAGTGGCTGGTGTAGTTGGCAAAGAGAAAATAAACCACTGAATGAATGAGGTATTTTCCATTTTATGTCATCCGGGTGACTGATTGGCCAACTTCACGTAAACATGGATTAGCTCTGTATCTTCGCACGATAAGGACAATGATGAGTTTCTTAGACCTCATCTCCTTGCTGCCAACGCTGCCGTGTCTCCAGGCCTCAAAACCCTGTCCTGCGGCAGTGGCCTTTGGAAAATGGAGTTTCCCTTTGTTCTATATGTCCCCCGTTACAAGAGTCAATAACGTCAGCACCCTCCCAACAATCCTAAGCATCAGTGAGTGGGAAGTGAGGTGGAGGTAGGGTAATGTGTGTACATTGGGGGGGATTACATAAGTAATGATGCAGACACATGGTGAAATGCTGTGCAACCATTACGACAAATGGAATAGACCTAGATCTGCTGAGCAGGGTGTGTGTTTGAATCCTTGGCTCAGGGTCCACTTCTTGAGGAGCTCAAACTGAAACAGAGCTGAAACTGAAACAAAATGATCAATTGGGTGGCAGTGGGGGGACATGTAGGTCATTCTGTAAAGCATTATTCTATTTTTATAAAAATAGAATAAAATAAATATTTCATAGGTATATATATTTAATGTCTTTAAAATTTAGGAAAAATTTATAATGGTTACCTTATGGTGGATGTGTAGGGTTGGATGGGTAAGGAGAAACACTGATTTCTTGCTTTATTTTTACATATTCTATATACATGACATTTTTTAATGGGGTTATGGGTAATTTTTACCTCTCTGGGTTTTTCAGTGTTTTTCAAATTTAAAATATTTTTAAATTACAGATGTAAGCCTTGTGAGAACAGGGATATTTTTATGGGTTTTGTTCACTGCCATATCCTCAGTACCTAGAGTGGCATCTGTCACATAGTGGATGCTTAATAAATATTTGTTAGGTGCATCTTAAGTACAATATATATATATCTTTATTACAGATCAGGGGATTTATTGGGACACAAAATATGCATACATAGGAAAGTACAAGTGTCCAGATTAGACTCAGAGTCCAGCTGTGTGTCCGGTTTTTAAAAAATAGTCCTTGGCTGAACAATCTTCTGTTTATCCCGTCTCCCAATTTGGTCCTCAGCCCTGTGGCTCCAGAAGAAATCTGTACTTTCTACCCAGCTCCATGCTATCTCCAGACAGAATCTGATTGAGATGTCCTGGGCTCCCCGGTCACATGGGAGAGCACTAGCTGACCTGGCCCTGGGTTTCTGTTCCAGGTCTGACCTATGCTGCACATTAGGCTCTAGGCCTTGGGCCCCCACTGGCCCCACCTTCCCTCCCAGTGGCCCTCGCTCCTGCTGTGATGCACATGCACTAGTCTCAGAGCCACTCCTGTTTCCCTTGCTAGGACTAGAGGCACCCCTTATTTTAATCTTTATCCATTACCCCTTTAGGAAAATGTGTCAGTCACAGTTCAGATGCACAAAACAGACACCATCTAGTCATTTTAAGGAGAAGGTGTCCCAACTGTGTTACATCGAGCATATAAAATCTCTAGAGGGGTCAGAGGAGTGGGATCTGTACTAGACCTCCAGAAATAAATCCCAGAACATCACCACAGGCCTGGCCCTCCCGGGCAGCCAGGACCTTTTCACAGCCTGGAGAGTGGGGGCAATGGGATCAAGAGGCAACCACAGAAGCTCTTGCCTTAAGGAACATGCCACCAAGACTGGAGACAGCGCCTGTCTTTGATCACCATGGTATCTGCATGGGCTAGCTCAGTGCTTGCCACCTAGTAGGTGAGTAGATGGATGGCTAGATGGATCCTAGACTGTACATGCTATCTAGAATGGCATTTCTTACATTTTTAATTCTTAGTGAGAGGGAACTTAGCACAGAGGATAACAGAACAGATTTTCAAGCCAGAGCATCGGGGTTCACAGCCCAGCTGTCCCCTCTGCTAACTGTGTGACCTTAGGCAAGCGACTTCACTTCTCTGTGCCTGGTTCCTACTCTCTAAGAAGGAGCTAATAATAGTAGCTCTCTCATAAAAATGCTCTAACGATTTGGTGAATTAATACATGCAAAACTCTTAGAACACGCTGAGTGCAGTGGTTCACACCTGTAATCCCAGCTACTGGGGAGGCTGAGGTGAAAGAGTAACTTGAGGCTAGGAGTTCAAGACTAGCCTGGGAAACACAGCAAGACTCTATCTCTAAAAACATTCTTAAATTTTAAAAAATTAGCCGGGCGCGGTGGCTCAAGCCTGTAATCCCAGCACTTTGGGAGGCCGAGACGGGCGGATCACGAGGTCAGGAGATCGAGACCATCCTGGCTAACACGGTGAAACCCCGTCTCTACTACAAAATACAAAAAAACTAGCCGGGCGAGGTGGCGGGCGCCTGTAGTCCCAGCTACTCGGGAGGCTGAGGCAGGAGAATGGCATAAACCTGGGAGACAGAGCTTGCAGTGAGCTGAGATCCGGCCACTGTACTCCAGCCTGGGTGACAGAGCGAGACTCCGTCTCAAAAAAAATAAATAAATAAATAAATAAAATAAAAAATTAGCTGGGTGTGGTGGCAGGCACCTGTAATCCCAGCTACTAGGGAGGCTAAGGCAAAAGGATCACTTAAGCCCAGGAGTTCTAGGCTGCAGTGAGCTATTATTGTGCTACTGTACTCTAGCCTGGGCAAGAGTGATACCCCTTCTCAAAAACAAAAAAGAAAAAACTTCTTAGCATAGTATCTGACATCCAGACAGAACTATGTAAGTATTTGCTATCATAGCCATTGTCACAGTAAAGAACAAAAGAGACCTTTTCTTCATCCTCTTTTGCAACATTTTAGCTTTTCCTTTGTTAGGACATGGGCTACACAGAAAGGGTGTCTTTCAAAAGCTAAGTGTCCTGTTAGCTGCTGTGGGGCAGAAGGTTTATTGCTGACACCTATTTATTTTAAAAGGTTGGGTTTGTTGGTCACTTATGTAGACTGGAAACCTAAGCCCCCAACTGTGCCTGTACAGAAAGTCTTTTGTTTTTCTCTTTGAGACGGAGTCTTACTCTGTCGCCCAGGCTGGAGTGCAGAGGCGCAATCTCAACTGACTGCAACCTCAGCTTCCCAGATTCAAGCAATTCTCATGCCTCAGCCTCCCAAGTAGCTGGGACTACAGGTGCATGCCATCATGCCCGGCTAATTTTTTTTTTTTTTTTTGTATTTTTAGTAGAGACAGGGTTTCGCCATGTTGGCCAGGCTGGTCTTGAACTCCTGACCTCAGGTGATCTGCCCACCTCGGCCTCCCAAAGTGCTGGGATTACAGGCATGAGCCACTGCGCCTGGCCACAGAAAGTCTTCTTGCCCTTCCATTTCTTACTGCAAATGCTCAGTTTAATGAAAGGTTTAATCTCCCCACTAAATGCCACAGTGTGTGATGCGATGCCATTCCTCAGCTGCAACACCAGGAGGGTATTAGGCAGATGTCTCAGGGCAGGGAGCTTATACGGGGCTTTCAGACAAAATACTATATGGCTTTCACATGGCTTACCTTGG